TCGGCTGCAAACTTGTAACTGTTACACGTTGCGAACGCACAGCAGCAAGACCCACTTTCACATTAAAAAAGAAAAAAAAAACAGTATAAGTAAATGATGACGCACAGCCGAAGAAAGCAGTCCTTATTTGAGTGAGAGCATATGCTGAGCGGGTGAGAGTATATGCGTTTACATATAACAGGTAGCCATATTTTGCTTAATCTTTTACCATGTCGTTCTTTTAAACGAAAGGCCTGGCGCAGATTTGCCGGACCCCGCAATTTCTTCGAGCCATCGCTTTGTAGCAGTCTTTTCCGCTGCATCTGCCTATAACTCCTTCAGAAGCTGCCAGGTAGATATTTGCTAATTCAGATGTCAGTACGATAAGTTATTGTGGTCTGAGACTGGTACTGTTCAACATATATACATACATACATACGTACACACATGCGCATACCATGGACATTTCGAACATTTAAAGCTTTGCCAAGTGCTTTTGTCGGAAGAGCCACATGGCTGGTGAACGTTTCAGCGGCATCGCCAGCTGTAGACTGTGCACCAGGCACTGGGAATTTGAAGGAACAAGCTATGAGTGAGTAGCTGCTTCAAAAACCGATCGCCATGCACCTAATTTGGCGCAGTATCTCCTCCCTGTCCTGTTACTTATGTTTGCTCTCTCCTATCCGGTAACCGGTCCGCCGCATTCTGGCAACCGCTGTTTACGAGGAGGCTCGCTCCTGGCACGCAATCCTTCCAGCGGTGCTTGGAGACTTGCCAGCATCCGTTGCATGCTATCTAAAATCGCCCTCGCATTTTTAACACGGCGTTGCCCGCGTTTGTTGGTGGTTTGGTGGTTCGGCGAGGTGCAGGCCGGTTTGTTTGTTGAGCTGCGCGAGCGGGGTTGCGAGTGCACTGGATTCTGTGCGTGACTCCTTCCGGGCCAGCTTTTACTGGTGGACTTCCCGTGCCCCGTCTCGCGCACCTCTCGGCTTTTGCCCGTAGTCTTCTGCTTCCAGTGCTTCTCTCTCTCTGTGCGCTAGTCCGATGCAAGTCGCCCGCCCGACCGGCCAGTGCGCGCAGTTGAGTGTGTTTGGGGGCACAGGTGCGTTGCAGCGTAGTGCGCCGAGATGCCGCTGACGGCACTTGCAGCCTGGGTCCGTCGCCGGCGCCGCTGCAAGGGGAGCCACGTCACTATGGGCCTTCCGCAGCGCAGCCGATGCGGGGCAGGCGTCCGGATTGTGCTGCACCTGAAGGAGTTTTGTTGCAGCGCGCAGCAGTAGTGATTGTAGCGGTTTATTCAGAAGATGGCCGAGAAGGGAAGACGAGTGAGTGCAAGCAGCGAGAACAGCGATAGCGAGAAGGATGCCACGGAGACTCCGGCAAGCGACTTGGTCCTCACGAAGTACTCCATGGCTGCCGATATCGTTAATGCTGTTATGAAGGCAAGAGAGCTTGTTGCTTTTTTGGCCCATTGCCTCTACTTGTCCACTTCCCTGAACCAGTGGTCCTTTGACACCTCTACGCTGAAAACGCCGCATTTTGGGGGAGGGGGAATGGGATATGCTGTATGTTTGCAAAGAAGAATAGTTGGTGCCTTGGCCAGTAGCGAAATAAGCTCTTGATAAACGAGTAACAGTGAATTCCGCACTAAATTGAATTTGGAGGCACTGGGGGTGTTTCTTCTGACCATTTTCGGAGACTGGTCTCTGTTGTTCAGGTCGTATGAATGCATTGTTTGCATTACATATAGATGCAGGCACTGCTGCATTTCCTTTTTGTTCGTTCTGATCGCAGTGCATTTAGGAGGTCCTGGCGGCAGTAA